AAATATCCAAATCTGTATCTCTGACTTCATTCCATTTTCTGTCTGCTACTGTCATTTCACAGTTAACAATGCTGTTACTCATCTTGTTGTTTACGACATTGGACTCTGGAGTTGAAAGTCTAGGTCAGAATCAGATTCTCCCACTCTCGGCTAGGTGTACTGGAGAAGATCACTTAATCTGTTTAAATTTAGATTCCTTATCTATGAAGTGAGGATAATAGTAATCTTCCTTATGGTATTGTGAAGATTCAGTGAGAGAATGTTGATTGGAAACTCAGCAATTTGGTAAATATTTATTGAACACTTTGCTTTGTGCCAGGTGAATGGATGTTGGGAGACAGTGATAACCAAGGTGTCCTCTCCATGAAGGCAGTTTTTAGCTGGCTACTGAAGTGTTACTGGCTTTACCTCCTTAGTCTCTCTGTTTCTTCTTTTCTCCCTTCTAATTGTCACTACTGTAGTTCAATCTCTTATTATCTCTTGTCTAGACTATTATAAGAACTTTCTACCTAATCTCTATACTTTCAGATAGCCACCAGAGTCTTCTCAAACTGAAGAATTTGGCTGGGTGCAGTGATGCATACCTCTAATTCTAGCAGCTTTTTAGGCTGAGGCAGGAATATAACAAATTAGAGACCAGCCTGGGAAACTCGGTGAGATCCTGTCTCAAAAACTAAAAAAGGGCTGGGAATATAGCTCAATGGTAGAGCACCCCTGGGCTCAATTCCTAGCACACCCCACCCCCTGCCACAAATTTGAGAATTGGGATGATGCCATTTCCCTGTTTGAGATCTTTTAGTTTTCCCAGTGGGAGGAAATGAGTTGTGGGGAGGATTTCCTGAAGACAGATGTGAAGACCACTTAAGAGCTCAATAGGACTCAGTGGCATAGACAAGAAAGTGGTACTGTCACATATTTGTCAATCCTTGTTTAGCAGAAAGTTCAGATTCCTTAGCAAGGGCCCTAGGACAGTGCAAAATTAAGATCTGACCTGAGAGCTGGGGATGTAGCACAAGTATACTCTTGCCTAGCATACATGAAACCCTGGATTTGATCCCCTGCATTGAATGAATGAATGAATGAATAAAGATAGATAGATAAGTAGGTAGATAATCTGGCCTGTTTACTTCTGATCTCTTCTAGTCCCCTCATTTGCCCCAACCTCCAGCTCCATGGAACTGTGCTTCTGTATATATATCATTCTCTCTCCCTGAATGACTTTATCTTTCTCTGTTTATGGAAAGCTTTATTTGTCCTATAATACTCAGGTTGGTTACCTCTTTTTGGGATGCTTTTATCTGCCTTTCCAGGCAAAGGTATTAACTTCAATCATTTTATCTTTCTGTTTTCCTTTTCTTCCAATTCCCTTCTTTCCCTTCCCTCCCTTTTCCATTTCCTCCCTCCCTTCCTTTCTTTCTGATAAAAAATTCACATACCACAAATTTTACCATTTTAGAGTGTTCATTTCACCAGCAGTGTATGAGTGTGCCTTTTCCCCCACATCCTCACCAACATTTGATTTGTATAGCTAGAGATGATGAACATTTTTTCATATGTTTGTTGATCGACTGTATTTCTTTGAAGTATCTTCAGTTCCTTGGCCCATTTATTGATTGGGTTATTTGTTTGTTTGTTTGTTTGTTTTTGGTGAGTTAAAAGTTTTTAAATTTTGAGACAGGGTCTTGCTAAGTTGCTTAGACCCTAGCTAAGTTTGCCAAGCCTGGTCTCAAACTTGTGATCCTCCTGCCTTAGCTCCCCATTGGCTGGGATTACAAGTGTGTACCGCTGCACCCAGCTACATTTTGTTTATTCATTAGTTGACAGAAGAACCTTAGTAATTTGTATTATCATTATACTTGTCAGTTTTCTCATGGTTTTTGTTTATATATTTGTTACTCTGTGGCCAGGATCCTCTCATCTGTACATTTCAGTGCCAATGAAATGGCAGGTGCCATTGATTGATGAAACTAGGCGTGGTGGCACATGCTGGTAATGCCTGTGACTTGGGATACTGAAGCAGGAGGATCATAAGTTGGTGGTCATCCAGGGCAACTTTAGTTAGACTGTTTCAAAAAAAAACCAAGAATGTAGCTCCGTGGTGGAGTGCCCCTGGATTCAATGCCTAGAACCAGGGAGGAGGGGTGGGGGGGATTGTTGCATCATTTTATCTCCCTTTCAAGGAAACACGACTGCCTTTTCAATACCTCTCATCTAAGTCATGGTTGCTGGGTAGAATGTCCTCTCCTCCCTCCTCATCTAATTCAGCTTGCTTTAGAGGTTGTTTCAAAATCTCTCCTCCTGGAAGGCTTCCAACAGCATCCAAACTTTAATCTCTTGCTACATTTTCTTCACGCTGGTGTACTTGAAATGTTTATTCACTAGGCACTTAATAAATATAGTTTTGTACTGGGACATTAAACTCACTAATACCAGGACTCCCTTTTTTTTTTTTACCTCCAGTACAAAGGTGCTATAACTAGTAGAATTGCATCTAATATTTTGCCTTACTTAAATTCACCTGTATACTTTGCAAAAGGAGAGACGGAGAGGATGAGGATGAGGAAGAGGGAGACTGAGTGACAGAAGAAAGAAATAATTTAAATAGCTAATTAAAAAAATTAAATTTATATTTTAGGTGTAGATGGACACAACACAATGCCTTTATTTTTATGTGGTGCTGAGGATCGAACCTGGGTCCCACCTGCGCTAGGCAAGTGCTCTACCACTGAGCCACAATCCCAGCCCCAATTTTTTTTTTTTTTTAATTGATATGGTGTCTTGCTATGTTGCCCAAGCTGTTCTTGAACTTGTGAGCTCAAGCAGTCTTATCTCCACTTCCCAAGTATTTGGGACTACATGTGTGTGCCACTGTGCCTTGTTGATAGTGTGATTTTTATTCACTATTTCACTCAGCAAGTGTTTGTTCACTGGCAGTGGATGCAGTTCATCCCATTACAGTTAGTATAACTGACAAAACCTATAAGTGTAGAAAATTCCTGATCATTGACAGAAGAGAAATTGTTTAGGTGACTAGGGGCACGAGTGATGATGGACTATTATATTAAAAACAAATGAGGGTTATACTATAGAGAATTTTTGACTCACAGAGACTTACTGGAAATGATAAAGGAGAAAGATGAATTGGGAGAGGCTGCAAGCTGAAATCTGTATAAAATTGTGTACTAGTTTAAGCAACAAATACATGAAAATAAAAAATATCGTAGATCTTAAAGAGTTTTTCTCCCTTGACGAATCACTTCTTTAACTATTCGTTAAGTGAAATAGCAAAGAATGACTTGTAAAGAATACAGTCAAGACATTTCTTAAGAGAAATCAGCTACCAATAGAAGCATCAACAAAACAACCTACTCAGTTGGAAGCTTACTCTTTCACATGCATTATTTCTAAATTTTGTCTCCACTGTTATTTTTCTCTGCATTTTCTCTTTCCAGCTTCTTAACTTCTTATAAAAAATCTTGATTTTTCTTTTCTTTTTTTTTCATAGTAGGAATTGAACTGCAGGGCACTTTACCACTGAGCTATATTCCTAGCCTTTTTTATTTTTGTTTTGAGACAAGATCTCATTAAATTACTGAAACTGGCCTCGAACTTGCAAACTTTCTGCCAGGGCCTCCAGAGTTACTGGGATTATAGGCATGTGCCACTGGCCCCCAGCAGGAATCTTGGTTTTTAATGAGAGCAAATTGTTTTATTCTTAAGTGCTTAAATGTAGTAACTTTGGTGTTTTATACTTGGTAATTCTTTGCCTCCCTTGGCCAATTCAGATCTGAAGTGGTACATTCCAGGACCTTACCTGGTTACTTTCTTGACTTTGGATGAACTTCACCATGTGGATTACTCTGGTTATCTCTAGTTCTTCCATTTCCCTGAGTGTTTATCTATTTATTATTAGAGGAATTGGTTTATCCAGTTTTGTCTGAAAGGAATGCTTGTTTTCCGGGATTAAGGCCAATATTTTTTTGCTTAATTTTTGGGTAAAACTATCCCAGCTGCTGCTCCAGAGATGAGCTCTATGAAACCAGTTTTATTTATTTAGGAACCATATAATACTCATTATGGCAGAAGATATTATACACATATTGGAAATACAAACAGGCTTTCTGTAAATGGAACATTGGTTGCCCATAAGAGAGCCAACTTACTGATGTGTACAGAGCTGTCTCAACTCAGAATCTTCCAAATGGACTTGAGCCATGATAAGGTTATACAGTGTTTTTATAAGAGACAGGGTAAAATGTGTTTTACATCTGTGTAGGATTTGTGATGTTCTAACTGACTGAGTCCTTATTATGTTCCTGGGTCATATGCTATGTGAACCCTCATAGCCCCTGAGTGTAGGTGTCATTATCTTAATTGTACAGATGAGGAGAAGCTAAGTAATTTGCTCTAACTAAGTGGGGCCATTAAGCCAGTCCTCTGACACTAAAGAGCTCCCACCTTGTGATACACCTACCACATCTATTGTGGTGCTGATGGTAAAAGCTGACATATGTGGCATGTGGTCTCTAGCCTGGGCTGGTGTCTGAAGAGGGGTGACAGTAGTCTTAGACCCTGTTAGGGAAACCTGAAAAAGAAGCCCTGTGTGTCTTTTACTTTTATTTTTAAAATTTTTACTTGTGAAACACAATACCTAATTAATTAATTAATTCAATGGGGTGCTGAGGATCAACCCAGTGGCTCATACATGCTAGGCAAGCATTCTACCACTGAGCCACAAACCCAGCCTCTTCTTTTACTTTTAATTGAGGCTTGAAGAACAATGTTCTACTAGCCCAATTTGTTTTACTTCCCAAATAGTTCTCAAATCTGGCCTTTCCTTTGGCTTTTTAACTGGTCTTTTATTTTTTATTTCATTTTCTACATTTCTTCCAGCAAAATTCACTTCCTTCCTTCCTTTTTGCAGTATTTATAATTGAACCTAGGAGTGCTCTCCCACAGAGTTATATCCCCAACCCTTTCTGTTTTTTATTTTGAGACAGGGTCTACCTAAAATTGCTCAGGCTGGCCTTGAATTTGTGATCCTCCTGCCTCAGCCTCCTGAATCCCTGGGATTAAAGGTATGTGCCACCATGCTGGTTTTCCTTCTTGTGCTAGGAACTGAATCCAGGGCTTCATGCCTACTAGGCAATTACATTATTACTGAGCGGAATCCTCAGCTGCTCCTGCTGCTTCTTCCTCTGCCACTTCCTCCTCCTTTCTTCTTTCTTACTCCTCCTTCTCCCCACCCCCCCCTTTTTTTGTGATACTAGGGATTGAGCCCAGGGCCTCAGGTGCATTAGGCAAGTGCTCTGTCATTGAGCTATGTCTGGAACCCTTCTTCTATGTTTTGAGTACTTGCAGTGTGATAAATATTGAGCTGTGTATTTGTATAGTATAATTTATCTTTGTTCAACACTTAATCTTCTTAAGAAACTTTGAAGATAGGGGATAACTCCATTGTACAACTGAGGAAACTGTGGTTCAGAGAGATTAAATAACTTGTCTGAGGTCACATAGCAAAATAAGCTAAGATTTGTTTTTGGCTTAAAACTGCATGCACATCTGCATGCCGACCAAGCTGCTGGGATTACAGGTGTGCACAACCATGGCTGGCCAGGCCTCACTTTTAACACTTTTCTTCTTTCCTGACTTGATCTAATCTGTGTATTTTTGTGTCCCCCAGTAGATAGATAATGTTTTGGAGATTTGACTCTAGAAGCAGATATTTCAGAAACTACCAAAACTTCTGCAAAAATGAGCTCTTTTAATTTAAACAACTTGGAGTCGGTAAGGGTCAATTTTTGGCCTGAAGGTTATAAACCTGTTAAAGAAGGACCTAATGTTTTTCATATTTTGACAATTGGATGTGTTCAGACTATCTTTGTAGATCTTCTTCTTTTTCTTTTCTCTTCTTTCCTTTTTGGCATTGGAGATAAAGGCCAGCGGCACTCTGTCACTGAGATACATCCCACACCCTTTTATTTTTTGAGACAGGGCCTTGCTAAGTTGCCCAGGCTGGCCTCAAACTTGAGATCCTTCTATTTTCAGCCTCCCAAGTTGGTGGGGTTATAGAAGTGTGCCACAGAGCCCAGCTATTGCTTTTTTTTTAATGGACTATTTTGTTGAATAGCATTTTTTTTTTTTGACTGGTGCCCTAGCAGACTGTATCCCCAAGGAATGGCTTTTGTTTCATAAGATGTAAGGGCTTTCCAAGTATTTGTTCTGATTTTTATTCTCTGAAATGTCACAGAATAACCTGATCTAAGACCTCAGAGTGCTTTTCTTTTTCTTTTTGGTACTGGGGATTGAACTCAGGGACACTCAAACGCTGAGCCACATCCCCAGCCCTATTTTGTATTTTATTTAGAGACAGGGTCTCACTGAATTGCTTAGACCCTCACTGTTGGGGCTGGCCTTGAACTTGTGATCCTCCTTCTGTTCTGCTGCCCTTCCTATCCCCCCTACTCCTCCCCTCCTCTCCCATCATTTCTCTCTATCCAATCTAATGTGACACATTTTTTTTCTTTTTCTCATCACAACATCATATATGTATTCTGTATAATGATGACGTTCTCCTTGCATCTTCCATGCAACTCCCCTTCTCCCTCTTTTTCCCCTCCCACCTTTCTTCCCTATTTAGTGGTAATCTTCTTCTCATGCTCTTCCTCCCTATCCCATTTTGAGTCACCCCCTTATATCAGAGAAGACATTTGGCATTTGTTTTTTAGGGATTGGCTAACTTCACTTAGCATAATCTGCTCTAATGCCATCCATTTGCCTGCAAATGCCATGATCTTGTTATTTTTTAGTGCTGAGTAATATTCCACTGTGTATAAATGCCACATTTTTAATCCATTCATCTATTGAAGGGCATCTAGGTTGATTCCACATTCTAGCTATTGTGAATTGTGCTACTATAAACATTGATGTGGCTGTGTCCCTGTAGTATGCTCTTTTTAGGTCTTTTGGGTATAGTCCGAGAAGGGGAATAGCTGGGTCAAATGGTGGTTCCATTCCCAGCTTTCCAAGGAATCTCCATACTGCTTTTCAAATTGGCTGCACCAATTTGCAGTCCCACCAGCAATGTATGAGTGTACCTCCCCCCTCCCATCCTTGCCAGCACTTATTGTTGTTTGACTTCATAATGGCTGCCATTCTTATTGGAGTGAGATGGTATCTTAGAGTTGTTTTAATTTGCATTTCTCTGATTGCTAGAGATGGTGAGCATTTTTTCATGTATTTGTTGATTGATTGTATATCCTCTTCTGAGAAGTTTCTGTTCAAGTCCTTGGCCCATTTGTTGATTGGGTTATTTGTTTTTTTGTTGTTTAACTTTTTGAGTTCTTTGTATACTCTAGAGATTAGAGCTCTATCTGATGTTTGAGGGGTAAAAATTTGTTCCCAGGATGTAGGCTCCCTATTCACCTCACATATTATTTCTCTTGCTGAGAAAAAACTTCTTAGTTTGAATTCGTCCCATTTATTGATTCTTGGTTTTAACTCTTGTGCTATAGGTGTCTTATTAAGGAATTTGGGACCTGCTCCCACGTGATGAAGGTTAGGGCCAACTTTATCTTCTATTAGACGCAGAGTCTCTGGTCTGATTCCTAGCTCCTTGATCCATTTTGAGTTGACTTTTGTGCATGGTGAGAGAAAGGGATTCAATTTCATTTTGTTGCATATGGATTTCCAGTTCTCCCAGCACCATTTATTGAAGATGCTATCCTTCCTCCATTGCATGTTTTTAGCACCTTTGTCTATTATAAGGTAGTTGTAATTTTGTGGATTTGTCTCTGTGTCCTCTATTCTGTACCATTGGTCTACCAGCCTGTTTTGGTGCCAGTACCATGCTGTTTTTGTTACTATTTCTCTATAGTATAGTTTAAAATCTAGAATCACGATACCACCAATTTCACTCTTCCTGCTTAGAATTACTTTAGCTATTCTGGGTCTCTTATTTTTCCAGATGAATTTCATGATTGCTTTTTCTATTTCTGCAAGGAATGTCATTGGGATTTTGATGGGAATTGCATTGAATCTGTAAAGTGCTTTTGGTAATATGGCCATCTTAATAATATTAATTCTACCAATCCACGAGCAAGGTAAATCCTCCCATCTTCTAAGTCTTCTTCTATTTCTTTCTTCAGGGTTCTGTAGTTTTCATTGTATAGATCTTTCACCTCTTTTGTTAGGTTGATTCCCAGGTATTTTATTTTATTTTATTTTTTTGAGGATATTGTGAATGGAGTGGTTGTTCTCATTTCCATTTCAGAGAATTTGTCACTGATATACAGGAATTGATTTATTGGTATTGATTTTTATCCTGCCACTTTGCTGAATTCATTTACTAGTTCTAGAAGTTTCTTGGTTGAACTTTTTGTTCTGCTAGGTATAGGATCATGTCATTGGCAAATAGTGCTAATTTAAGTTCTTCTTTTCCTATATTTATTCCTTTAATTTCTTTCATCTAATTGCTCTGGCTAGTGTTTCAAGAACTATGTTGAATAGAAGTGGTGAGAGAGGGCATCCCTATCTTGTTCCAGATTTTAAAGGGAATGCCTTTAATTTTTCTCCATTTAGAATGATGCTGGCCTGAGGCTTAGCATATATAGCTTTTACCATTTTGAGGTAATTTCCTGTTATCCCTAATATTTCTAGTGTTTTGAACATAAAGGGATGCTGTATTTTGTCGAATGCTTTTTCAGCATCTATCGAGATGATCATATGGTTCTTATCTTTAAGTCTATTGATGTGGTGAATTACATTTATTGATTTCCATATATTGAACCAGCCTTGCATCCCGTGCTGTAGTTATTTTTAAATCTCCCTTAAAATCTTTTACTTCCCCAGGTTGGGTGGCACACACCTGTAATCCCAGTAATTCAAGAGATTTAGGCAGGAGGATCAAGTTCGAAGCCAGCCTGTGTATCTAAGTGATTAAAAAGATTGGAGATATAGTTTGGTGGTACAGTGCCCCTGGGTTCAGTCCCTAGTACTGTAAAACAAACAAAAACAAAACCTTTTTTCTTACTGTCAAGTTTAGAAATAGCCTAGAGGGAACAACTTTTGGAAAGCAAAATTAAATAGTTTTTTCAGTTACTGATAGAAGCAATGTAGGGTTTTGAATCTGTTGGCAATAGCTTTTTTGGGGGGATGGGGTAGGGATTGAACCCAGAGCATTCTTGCATGCTAGGCAAGTGCTCTACCACTGAGTCCATTCTCAGCAGCTATACCGTTTTTATCCTGGTATTAATGGCTTATGTAGATATTAGCTTTCTGAAGAGTTTGAGCTTGCTGCCAGGGCCTGCTAAAGCCTAGGAGGGGAAATTCATAGGCCAGAGTATCTTCCCCAAAGCAAGGAAATGGTTGGTCTCTGCCTTATATAGGAGAACAAGAATATTTCACTCTGGGCCATAGTTAGCAGAATCCATTAGTTTTGGAGTCCCTATATTAGATGTACCTGAAGATACAATGATTTGGATGCCTGACCACATGTAAATATAGAGTGAGGAGTTAGGAATAGAGAGACTGAATCAGAAGTAGAAAAAGGGACTTTTGAAGTGTGATTTCTCCTTTAATTTTTTTAAAGAAGGCTAACTGGTTTTATCAGGATGTATCAAAGGATAGACATTGGCACATACAGTCTATTGAATAAATTTGCTCAAATGTGATATAATAGGGGAAAAAAGAGTTCAAAGAGAACTGTCACATAGCTTTGCAGGACCCATACTGTTGATGACAGTGGAAAATATGTGAGTCCTGAAGTCAGTGTTTATATAACTGAGATTAGACAAATAAGCCTCTTTCTTCACTCCTGTATACTACTCAATCTAATGGCTAGTCCATGTTTTGGGAAGCCTGCATGAATTGCCATATGTAAATACCAGGAATTTACCATATAGTTATTGTTTTTTAGTTTTTTTCCTTTACTGGGGATTGAACCCAGGGGCATTTTGCCACTGAGCCACATCCAGCCCTTTTTATTTTTAATTTTGAGATAGGTCTCCCTAAGTTGCTTAGGTTAGCCTCAAACTTGTGATTCTCTTGATGTAACCTTCCAAATTGCTGAGATTATGGC